GCCTGGAAATAATCTAAATAATRGTCACTCCTTAATGAAAACAATTTTTGTTTCTTGAATTATAGTATTTCCTGGCATTAAAGATGTCTTTTCAGGGAAACTTTCTAGTTCTTTAGGCTTAAAGGAATCAAAAGATGGAGGGAAAAGAGAAGTGCATGCTAGAAGTACCCATGTCACACTGGGCCTGCATTTATATCCTGGAACCCCTTTCCAGATGGAAAAGGAGGGTGAAACTGGCTAGAGGAGTAGGACAGGTCTGCTCTGTGTCCGGTCACATAATGTCAGCCAGCTGGGGCAGAACTCAGGGGCTGAGCAGCTTATCAGCCATGAAGCTCTTGGGAAAGCTCACCACTGAAGAATGGGCCCCCAGGGAGCAGAACACTATCCACTCTACCATCTGACTTCTGCTTCCTATTAGGACTCCTTTAGCAGGAGAAATGATTTCCTAGTGGTGCAGCATGTCCAAATTTATTGCTTTATTTACTGGCTATTGAATTAAATGGGAAAACCCACCATAAGAATTCCTTAGCAACACTGAAAGGATCTGTCTTATCAGATTCTATTCAAATTAGCACTCCTTCTATCCAGAATTTGTTAATAGTTACTTTATAATTCCAAGATTTGGTCTCAGCAGTTTTTTTGCATGAAGCACCTGTTTTGGTCAAGTTCAAAAAGCTTGTATATTCACTAAAAATAATGCATTTGGGGGTGTACATTTCTAATAATTCTGACGTTTTTACTTGCATTGTCAGCATACCCACATTTAAGCAGTTGTGAAATAAACACATGCATTTTAAGTACACAGATGCACAGATATCACTTTGAAAAAATTCTTCAACAGATCTGTATTCTTTGGTATAGAAGCAGAGGAGTCCCTTTTTAATAATACAGTGTGCATGAGCTTATTCTCTATGTCATTTTAAAGAATAATGTTTATTTTGATGACTATCCATGGTTATGATTGATTTCTGGTTACTCTCCATATAATATCACCTTGGTTTAAAAATCTAGCTCTAAACMTTAATCAGATATTTTAGTTGTGTATTAGATTATGTGCATTGAGATGGATTTCTTAATAGGCATTTAATTCCTAGAAACATCAGTGTTTATATTATAGTCTTATTATTATTATAAATACATTTAGTTTGACTTTTTCTCTTCAATTTGCCATTCGTGTTTATGGTTGTCTGCACATTTTAACTAATTTTGAGATATTGGGGTCAGTTTTGTATTGTATAGGATAGGGCCCCTGAGGGGTCACCATGACACAAAGTTAACAGATTCTGATTTGCAGCTGGACAGGCTTGGTGGAGCAATAGATAGGAGTCATTTCTTCCTCTTGTCCCCCACCATGCATCAGCACCCTGTGAGGCTCCTTGACCAGATGCCAAGAGCCCACCAAACTATCGGTGCCAGTATGTACACAGTCTTTGGCAACATCTCAGATGAAAAGCTRCAAAGCGCCGAACAGAGTGGCTTTGAAGTCAGACAGACTTGTTTTAAATCCTGCTCTGACACTTAATCTGCGCAATAACCTTGGGCGGGTTATTTTACAGCTCTCTGACTTCCTGAGATAAAATTAATCATATAGAGTTACAGCAGGCTTTAATATGGTTGGCTGTTCAAARTAATAGTTACAGGTGTAGCTTCCCAAGTTCCAGTCCTGCTCTGCCATGCTCTACCTCCTTGACCTTAGGCAAGTCAAAATAAATCACTCCAAATCTTGGTTTCTTCATTTGCAACACAAGGATAATAATTATAACCTCTTATAGGGTTTTGGAAGGATTAGATTTTAAAAGTAAATGAAAACCATGTTTCACAATGCTTGGCACATAGTAAGCACTCAATATTAGTCATTTATCTTTTATGAAATTCATCTTAAGTTCCTAGCACTTGTAGGTACTCAACACCCTGGAGCCCTCTGTCTCTCTCTTGGCCCTTTGGRGTCTCTGTTCTAACCAACACTGTGAGAATGAGAAGGACTGCAGAGCTAGGGAACAGAATTTATATTCATAAAATGTCCTGGAAACATTGTTCAACTTATAGGTCTTTTTTAATACTTTAAAATTATCTCTATAATTAAAATATCTAATCCTTAAATTGTGTATTCTGGGGGCTGGGGGGCGGGGAAGCAGACTTCCGTTCCTTTCTCTACCTAAATATCTGTGTTTATTTTTGACTGGAGCAGTTGTAGCTGATGTAAACACTCAGCAATCAGGGCACTTTGAAAATGTTTTCTATTTTCATTAAATAGTGTTTATCCTAAAGAGAAATGCTTTATGCCTTCAGCATTACTTTTAGAATGTTACATATTTATGACATAATAATATGCTACTTTGGGAATATTTTTTTATATTTAAGTTTCTAAAAAATGACATTTACATAATTTTTCCTCAAGCATTTATGTAATTCTCTGAAGTACTCTTTTTACTTTACACATACATATTCCTTTCATCTTCTAATATAGATTTGTTTATCTCCTCTTTCAATCAGAATATTTTAGATGAATATTGAAATAATTATTGAATTTTWAAAAAATCATGTAATCAACAGCTGGGTATGGCTGTAAATGATATACATATTTCATCAGTTTTAATACTCAGTCTTTATTGGAAACTTTATATAGCTGTATTTTAAAATTACTTTTGATGCACAGTTTATAAATAAAGGTGGCTTAACTTACCATATAAAGAAAGTTTATTGTGGATTTCTGACCTTTTGAAATGTGGAGGACATTTCTATATCCATTTACTACTGGTACATAATTTATGTGTATTTGTGCATGTGTATGCATATACAACAATATATATTATATGCAAATACATAGCATTATATATTAAATTAACAGCCGGACAGTCTGTTAATATATTCAAGGTATCATCTTCCCCTAATCCATCTACCAATCATCATCTTTTTCCAAACTCTCCCTTCTGCTACGACCACTATTGATCATGAATATGGCACCATTCATGCCCATTCAACTAATTATGATAGCAGACATAAAAATTCTGTTTCTGTGCTCTGCATTCCTTCTCATAGTCTCTCCATCCTCCCTAGACCCCATCTTTATCCCAGCACACACACAAGCTCCACTTCCTCAGTCCACATTGTTATAATTTGGATCTTCATTGTCCTCCTAAGGCCCATGTGCTAACAGCTTAGTTACCAGCTTGTAGGGCTACTGGGGGGGGGTGAAACCTTTTGGAGGTGGGCTCTAGAAGAAGGAAGGAAGGAAGGAAGGAAGGAAGGAAGGAAGGAAGGAAGGAAGGAAGGAAGGAAGGTGTTTTAGTCAACTTTCTTTTCTTTTTTTTTTCTTTTGCCACTGTGACTAAAGGATCTAACCAGAACAATTTTAAAGGCAGAAAAATTTATGTGACGTCTCACGGTTTCAGAGGTCTCAATCCATAGACAGCAGGCTCCATTCCTCCTGGCTCGAAGTGAAGCAGAACATCATGGCAGAAGAGCGTGGCAGAGAGAAGTGGCTCACATGACAATCAGGAGCAGAGAGAGACTCTACTGGCCAAATACACATACATACCCCACAAAGGCATGCCCCAATTCCCACCTCCTCCAGCCAAACCCTAGCATTTCAGTTACCACTCAGCTAAACCCTATCCGGGGATTAATCCACTAATTGGTAAAGATTCTCACAACACAATCATTTCTCCTCTGAACCTTCTTGCATTGTCTCACACGTGAGCTCTTGGAGGATACCTCACATCCAAACCATAACAGAAGGTCACTGGGGATGTGCCCTTGAAGGAAATGTTGGAATCCAAGCCCCTTCCACTCTTTTTCTCTCTCTTTTTTTCTGGCTGCCATGAAGTGAGAAGCTTTACCCAATCTACCATGTGCTCCCCACCATGATRTTCTGCCTTGTCACAGGCCCAAAAGCAGTGGGACAACTGACCAAGGACTGTGAGCTAAAATAAATCACTCTCCTTGTAAGCTGATTATTTTAAATATTTTATCACAGCAAGGGAAGGCTGAATAATACACATGGTTATACTGAGGGTTGTCCTGACCRTATTTTAAAATGTTATTTTCTGTTGTTTTTGCATATAGGTAAACTATATATATATGACATAAAATTAGTTKGCATATAACTATATCTTTATGCAGGTCCATATAAAACAATAAAATTATTTAACATATGACTGTACACAATCTTGTTTTCTTCTCCTTGGTCAAAGATGGTATCCCTTCCAGATCTTCATGTGGTACTAGAGGAAGCTAATAGTTCTTTTTCCAGTGACCCCAAAGCTTGAAATCAAAGTATTGTTGCTCACAGGCATTTCCTTTTTGTGTATAATATTTTCCAGAATGTAATTTGGAGCAGGTAATAGGGTAGAGATAAGGGAATGGCACATATTCTCTTGGATATGTCTTTATGTATGAAGCTGYAACCTTCACAAATGTTAGAATTGGATGTTCTCCACCACATTTAGATCTTATTTAAAGGAGTCTGGGTTAATAAACAGGRTGCAAGAAAGTTGGTCTATTTTAAACAAAAAAGCAGAGACCATTTTATTTCTAGTTACTGGATCAGTACCTGGATCAATATAAAAAATATAGATTGAATGAATAAAAGAATAGAATGAAATCTTGATTCAGGAAAAATGAAAAGATAAGTGAAGAGGCAGAAATTTCTCTTCATTTTCAGGTATATGTTGATATATATTTCTGAAGACAGAGAAGAGAATCTGGTAACCAAGAATTTGACAATCATGAACAAAGGTACTTGACAAGTTTTCCACTAGGGAATCAGAGTCACAGTCTGATTACAGAAGTTCAGGAGAGGCCACTGACTTTAATCATATACTGTTCCTTCAGCAATACATTTATGAACCCATGAAGACCTTGTGGCCTCATCCACCTATGTAGAAAGCTCCAGGCTTAACAGGAAATGTTTGAAAATAGGCCTCTTAATGAGAGACTGGTATGATCAATAGTCTACTGATCACAGCAAGCTTACCTTGTTGTAGTAAGGATTGCTTAGGGTAAGTGACAAACTGAAGTCCAGTAAAAACGTCTTCCATGTGTAATCACAATCACCACTGGGTGCTACTTCCACCTGTACTGAAAGTGTCATCCAGCAGTCTAATAGTCTTTTTGGAAGTGAGTGACCGTTTAGGCCTGCAGAAACAAAGAGGGCTTAGGATACAGTTGACCAGGCTCTTCTTTAGAAAACAGAAATCCAGCTGCCCTTCCTGATCTCCCCTGACTCAGCATTTGCTGAGGCTGAAGCATTTGCATCCATTCCRTGCAGTCTGATTCTTTCTAACTTGGTAATAAAAATATGGCAAGATGGGCTCTACACCATGTTTCATGCATTTTAATGTCCTAATATTTGTTAACTTGGAATGAAATATAAAATATATCCAGCTTTTGCACCCCAGCAAGCTGAATGCCTTGGCCATCTGTTCATTTCTAGTTTGTATACATCTCAGTCATTTCACTTCTGTTTTTAATTGTAACTACCACTTTCATGCTGATGGCACAAATCCTGAGACCCTTTTAAATGCTGCTTTCAGTCCTCCTTCTGACCCTTGGCTCACTTAAAACCATGGCTTAATCTTGATTGCTTTTAAATTTATGTTTAAACTTGAGGGGTGGATCCAAATAAATGTTTTCTTGGATGATACAATTCCATTTTCCTAATCTTCATTTTTCACATTGGCTAACCAAGTCTCTGGTCAGGTCCCCAGAATTGTATAATTTTTCTCCTATGTCTGACTCCCTCCATTCCATCACAACTGAAGCTTTCAATCACATTATCTTATTGCACATTATAATTTTGCCTTCCCATTGCCACCTACTCTGTTTAATTAAATAATTTGTTGATACACTCAGATTTCTGTTTACTCTAGCACAGGAGTTCTAGCCAAGATAATTACATCCTGGGCTTCAGGACCTGCCTATGGTAAAATGTTGATGAAGGGGAAATTTGTCTTTGCTCTATCTCTTGTAGGATTTATCAATTCAGGTTTCTCTCCTCTCTCTTCCCTTTCTTCCCTCCCTCTTTCTTCCTGATACGTGAAGTGACCATCCATTTTGAATCATCCCATCCATTTCTGACTTTATTTTCCCCATTAATCATAAGTCAATTGTTTTTTTTGTAGTCTAAGAAAACAGAGATCAGAAAAATCCCAATCCTACAATTCTCACTAAAATAATAAATAAATAAATAGTTCGCCAGCACTTTAGTTGAACTCTGATGAAAAAAAAAGCACTTATTAAATGCTAACTGTCCTTAAGGCTTCACAGCAGATGCTAGGTATGAGGAGAAATAAGATACCAGTACTGACAATCTTGTTTTATGGATGATAAAACCAAGGTACAGAAAGATACAATTCCTTGTTCCAAGTCAGGCAGACAGTTGTGTTAAAGATATAACTTGAATTCACTGAGTTTGACTCAGGAGTAGAGCTGTCCAAAAGAACTCTCTGTGACCATCAAATGTTCCAGCAATGTTGCCCATCACACTAGCCAATAGCCATACATGGATGTTAATATTTGAACTGTGGCTATTTGCAGCTGAGGAACTAAAATTTTAACTTTAATGAATTTTAACTATTTCGATCCCATAGCTCCTGACCTACAGGTCTTCACTGGCCACTAGATGCTACTTTCTCTTTGAGGTAGAACAATAACAATGTGGAAAAGAAGGACCAGTCTAAACAAGGATATCTGTTGTGACTTTCTATCAGAGATGTTGATGGTTGCATAGGCTGCCCCTATGCAGTAGAAAAAGGTAGAGAGGGAGGGAAGAGTAATAGGAGAAGGAAGGAATTAAAGAATGAAATTGACCTATATATATATATATATATATATATATATATATATATGAATATACCACAGTGAATTTTGACTTTATGTATATCTATAAAGTACCAAATTTAAAAAAATACATCAACAAATAAATAGAAGAAAGACCAGTAGAGTAGAAGAAAGGAGGGAGAGAGGAGGAAAGGGAAAAAAGAAGCACTAGGGACGGAAATGGAGGAATTATATTCTATATGTGCATGATTATGTAAAAATGAACCCCACTATTATGTATAAGTATAATAAACTAATAAAAACATTTTCTTAAAAAAGAAAACACTTTAATCCTTGAACTAATTAAAGTTCTCAAGGTAGAATAATTAGTTTGGGCTTGAAATTTAAAGGTGTCACCTCCTACCAGTGGCCTCTCATCATGGCATTTCCATCCACCAACAGAAGGTCCAAGTTAACTTCAGTGTCCTTCTGACACTCTTAAGAAAAGGATAGTAAAACTGTACAATTACATGTTACAAGTGRAACTTAAAAACTGTGTTTTATTTAAGCGCTGTTAATAACAGTCAATCAGAGACAAATCCAAAATATAAGAGATGAGGGAAGAGGCTCCAGATGTGTGATAATAATTTCAGTAAAAATAATATTATTACTAACAAGTAACTTTAGTACCCATTTTACCATGTTATCATTTTGTCCTTTCAACCCTGTAAAGTGGGGATTATTTATTTCATTTTGCAGATAGTAACAAAAGCATGGGTGGTTATGAAGCTTGTCCAAGGTCAAGGGTCCTATAACTGGCACAACTGGAGCTCTACCTCATCAGTCTGGATCCAAAGTCTAGGCTTCTTCTTTTGTTTAAATCATCTTTCTGCTAAAGCTGCCTCAACAAAGCATCTGATTTCTGGGTGTCCAATTCCAGCCTCTAATCTTAGCTTTCATATCTGTCATCTGGGTAAGTTACTAAACTTAGTAGAAGACACTGAGATCACCTTGGAAGCACTCCATAAATGCTGGATTCTCTTTATAGCTCATCTTCCTCAATTCTACCAGATCAATCTCTGTAATAGGGTTTCATCCATGTCACTCAAAAATCCAAAAGAGTGCTGCTATGATCAGTCATTAATTCCCCAATCTGTCACAGAAGTAATCTAACTCCAGCAACTAGTAGCAGTCTATTTAGTAATGTACGTCAAAGTAAAATCTCCAATGCAGGTGGAAATGCTAATTATCCTTATTCAACCATCTCACATTGTATACATGAATTATCATACTGTACCTCATAAATATGTACAAATATTATGTCAATTTAAAAAATGCCATTGCTGCCCAACTGATTTCCTCACCACCCACAGGCATAGGCAGCCTCTTCATTTGTGCTCTTCTTCAGTCTAGAGTTCTCTCTTTCCCTTCACCTATCCAAAGTGCATGTAACCAACAATGTCTAGGTCAAATCGATTCCTTCCCAAAGCCCTCGGGACTGCTATACCATTTCCATCACTAGTGAGGGGCCCTGCCACACATTTTGATACTTAATCATGTCATGCTTTTTTTTTTTAATCAGGTTCTTTCTTGCACATATTTCTGGCTCTCCATTAGATCACAAGACATGCAAGAGATGGAATACACACTTATTACTTTCAAAGCTACAAAATATTTGGAATTCAATTGTTAATTACAGAATAATACAAAGCACATACACAAGGACAAGGAGCATTAGGCCTTCTGTAGCCTCTAATTCACTTCTTTCCCATTCAACAATAATCTCTTCAGGGCAGAGTCCTTCGTTATTTATTTTAATACTTTCCTAACAGGGTCTCCTGTAGCATTTTCAAATAGCAAATGCTCAGTAAGCATCTATTAGGTAATGTTTATAGCAAATTGAGCATAGGCACTGGATAAAATTCTGTGCATGTATCATTTCATTCAATCCTCCAAGGCAGGATATTGCTAGATATCCCCTAGAGAACTGGACTGAGGCTCTTATTTCCCTGGATCCCAACAGTGTTGTTGGCTGTGATACTTTTCAGGAATTGCTCTCAGCTGTCACTCAAGGTCATGCTTTCTCCCTGATGGACCCCTACAAAAGATTAATGATCCAGCCCACTTATTTCAAGATAGTCAACTCTGAAGGATCATTCTTATCTCTCAGGCTTCATGTGGGATCAGCTGAGGCCTTTGGGAGCAGGCGTTGTAGTTCAGCTCCTCTCTCTGCCCTGTCTTCCTTCCTTTACTCTCCCACTGACATGGATATGAGGTACCCACAATAACCCCCTCTCCATGCAAATACCCATCTCAGAGTCTAATTCCCAGGGAAACTGACCTAAGACAGTAGGCATTACTAGTGTCATTATTCCTGGTATAGATGAGGAAAGAAAGATTTAGAGAAGTCATTTGATCAAATTAAATAAATAGTGCAAGATGGATGTAAGWCAGAGTGGATGACCCATTTCTGTGCTCCTACTTACCATGATGGCTGCCGCTCTGCTTCCTAAAGAGCAAATGCATATACATAAATCAACTCGTCGCAGAACATCAAGGCCTTTGCCTATTTCCATGACAGGGAAAGTTAGCCAAATCTGTAGTATTTGCTCAGGAGAACACRCCACTATTAGAAAGCCTGGGTCAATGCTCCCTCTGAATCCTCTACCACCTTTTGTACCCTCCTTTGTGATCACTATGATCTCACACAGGCCTTTCCTTGGAATTACCTTTAAAAATATAAGATTATTAAACTACAGAAAAGAATAAGGCGCAAATATTTAAAGGAAAAATACCACTCGCTATATCGAGGATGGTGATGAGCCATTTTCTGTTTAACCTGACTAAACAGTGGAGGTGATTATAAATGTATTCATGCACTGTCTAGAGTAAACACAGGATGCAACTTCCTGATGATGAAGATTGTGAGTAACTTTTAAGTACAGTTGTTATTATGGAATCTGTTCTTTTGAAAGAAAATAATAGTAATCACAGAAGCCAACAAAATATTTGGGAACAACAAAATATCAAGAATGTACACTTAAGTTCTAGAAATCCTGTTCTAGAAGCTCCTCAAGCTCCCTTAAAGATGTAGAACAATTCTGTCTGGAGGACTTGAGAAAGTGTCTAGGTTGACATCATGGGTAKTTTCAGAAGGTAAGGAATGCATATGCAACCTTTAGATAGCCCTGCCTTCATGAACGGGCTCTGTGATTTATTAAAAAGCATCAAGTGGCACCATAGACCTCTCTTTTCTTTCCTTATTTATATAGTTAGTTCATTTTTCCAGCACTGGGGATGAAACTCAAAGCCATAGGAATGATGATGGGCCAATACTCTTCCATTAAGGTATGTACCCAGTCCCAATGTCTTTATTT